TTCCTAAAGTTTTTTGTATTAATAAAATTAGTGCGATGAATTAATTTCAAGAACTATACAGCATTATTTTTAGTATAAATCGATTTCATCCAAAATATGCTATCAAATAGAGAAACGGAGGGCTACATCAAATTGGGAATCGATTTTGTCACACCCGAAATAGGGTGTAAAAGATTCCATTGTAATGAAGATGTATGCCATATGCGGAGTTATAAGTTTTTTTACATTAGATGTATTTAAGTGGTATACAACAGACAGCCATCTGTATTGATTTCCGGGATTTTCGGACCTCGGGTTTTTTAATCGGTTAGAATTCCACGTGTAATTTCGTTGTTAATATTATTAACTGGTAGTTTTTTTCTGCTAACAAAAAAATTCTGGTATTTAAATTTTGTCTTGTACTTATTTTAATTGTATTTTTTTTGTAATATTTATGTTTACCTAAATTGTCGTGCTTATTAGATAAAAGAGTTTGTAACATACCATAGATATAGTATTATGTATGATGTGGTAAACTTTAATTAATAAATAAATAAATACAAATATCTGGAGTAAACACTTTATACAAAGAAAATGTGTGAACGCCGTAGGTTTAAGGTTCTTACAATGACTAAAAAACAGTTCAATAATATACAAAGTGTGATGACCCTACTTTTAATGCTTACATTGATTCCATGTAATCAATTATGATTCCCTAAACTCCTATTAATCTACTAATAGCGAGTCACAATATGTTTATAGAATAGTTTAATACGATCATCAACCAACCCTCGGTCATCGTTTTAAATTCAAGTACAAAACATCTTAATCATTCCGCTTCATAAAATTCTTAAGTGATTGCGTAGGGAACATTGAATTGGAAATTGATTTAAAGTCCATCAAAGTACAGTATGAGTATCCCAAATTGATGTTTTATTAGGTTTTTGTACCTCCAGTTACTAATAAGTTTTTTTTTAATTGAACGAGATTTGAATGTTTCTTTCAATCCGTGTATGGCTTGTAGGTGATACTGCCAATGGCAATGGACACCTGCAACGCAATGGGGCTTACAGGGGTGGTGTGTTACCGACTTTTGCGATTTTAATAATATATGGATTAAAGCGTTCATAACCAAATTTTATAATAGTCAAAAGTCACCCTAAGACAGCGACCAAAATGTTTAAGCTCACTAATTAAAAATACGTAGATTTTAGTTATTACAAAATGTATATTGAATAAGTTAATAGTAGAGTCGGCAACGGGCAGGCGAGCAGAGATAATGAAATTGTGTACAGGAGCGCGACGAGCCGCGATCGTGTCTCGGGCAAAAATCCACTTAACAAATTGCTGCTGATTCGAAGGGTTCTGGATTGTTGCCTGCTTTTACAGTTACGTCAGTTATTCCTGTTACCCGTACATACATGCATCAATTTCCGCGATCTTCATTTGTTTTATGGAATTAACTATTCTATATAACTGTGTGGTTGGTACACAATTACGCATGTTTGTTTTAAACTTAATTTCATAAAACATTTAATTTGAGATAAATTTAATTGCTTATTTATTTATTTATTAAAGTACACATCATATATACATTTTCTATAGTATACATTACAATGTATAAATTCTAAAATATATGACAATTATGGTCAGCAAAACAGAGAAAAAAATCCAAATTTTAGTTTTTACTTAGTAATTACAAGAACAGAGTGTCTTCCCCTTAATAGAGATTGTAAGTAGTGTTATTGGACACTTTCTTATGTTAATTATCCTTTTTAGTAAATTAAGTTAGTTTTAAATTACTTATTGGTTTTAAATTGTGTCTTTTTGCAGAGACAACAAAAAAAACTTACTAATTATTTAATCAAAGATACTTAAAGATACGAAAGATAAAAATTCGATTAAGTACCTGATAGGTGCTTAGTAACGCTTTTTTTAAATTAATTGCCCTGCTTTAATATCTTATATAAAAAAGTTTTGGGGTAACTGTGTCATAATATTTTTTTTTTTTTAAGAAATGAACTTTGACGTAGCACTTGATGATGTTTCTTTTTTTTATAAAGAATTATGTAAAATATATAGTTGCCATATTTGTGAATATGTGAGCACCATGTCTCTACATAATAATTTAGTTATCTTCTGCATTGTTTTTATACAACTATTCGCTTATTTTAGTTAAGTATAATTTTTTTTTGTTCTAAGTCTTCACATATAATTATCAAATCAATATATACAAAATATTGTAAATCATATGAAACCTTTGGAAGAGGCAACTACAGACATTTTTTTATTATATTTAACTTGTTATTTTGTACTTCAAAAGTGCCTTTTTAATAGGCCTAATTGAAGTAAATTTGACTTGACTTGATTTGTAACGTCAACTAAATCCCATTTTGGTGTAAGACAGTAACAAAGCTGATAGACAATATACGGCACTAAAATTATTAACACTAATTAATAGGTAATTAACATACAAACAGAATGTGACCTACTTCTATAATTCACCATCCATTTGCAAAATAAACCATAATAGCACACATAAAATAATTAAACCATCAACGCTATCATTACGGACGTCGCTAAAAATGGAAAAAATACCATTGCAAGGAGTGTAATGAATTCGGCGCGGCGTTTTGCACGCAATTGCACAATTTCAATTATCGAATTACTAAGCGACTGTACCGAGGGCGGGGTGACTGATGAATTAATGTATCGAAGAATGACGCTTGTTTGTTCTGTTTTATTATTTTTTGTATGCAGCTTTAGTAGCCAGAGTAACAAACTGGTCAACTGGTCAAAAAATGTTTGCCTACAACTCACGTGTTTTAATTGTTGATGATCTTGAAATGCTTCACGTTTAATTTAAAGTTTTTTAAATTAAACTTGAAGTATTCTGCCCTGCAACGGGCTAGCAGGTAAGTTGTCGACCTTACAGGGAATGGTACTCTCTCTTGAAGGCCCTTAAGTCGTATTGGCAAGGAAATACCATGACAGCTGGTACCAAACAGTGGTGGTGCGCGGTATAAAGTATCTTAAAAAGCGGTGTTTTGTGGAATACTAATTTTTAAATATATTCACTTTTCAATAAAGTGATAAACGCCTGCAAAGCTGGTGACTAGCGGATGGGTTGCCGATCTTTCAGGGAATTATTAGCTCATTTCTCGAAGGCCGGTTCGGAAATACGGGTGTATACGTAGGTGCGGGAACATTAAAAAGCGCTGTGCGCTTGTGATGACATAAGATAACTGCTATGTTAAGGCATTGGGGGCTTTTTTGTTTAGTATGCACTTATTTTTATTCATATATAAACACTTAATTTAAATCCATAGTAATTCGCAATCAAACTATTAGGAGACGCCTATTTCCATTCAATTGACGAAAAAGCAAATCAATTAGAACCACGTTAGTCCTACCCTCACCTATGAAGTTTTCTATTTCTATTGTTATGTTGGTATTTGACAGCCTGATTAGCTTGCGTTCTTTACGAAACTTTATGAATAACTCAGCATGGAGGCTATTCTGTGTGACTTTTGTACGAGTTTCGTGGGTTGATGATTAGCCGAAACAATCATGATTTTTAGCCCCTTTAGAAAATCTTTACCTTTTAATTTCATGTTAATACACGATTTTAGTCACACAATAAATGGCAAGGTAAAAAAGCAACGATTTTTATAAGTCCTTATTAATTTCATAATAAATATTTGTGGTTTTTTTTAATTACTTGATTTCAGTCTAATTAAATTAATTGCAGATGGTTTCCTTAAGTTTGGTTTAGATTCCCATTTATACAAAAAAACTGTCTTATCACTCTAATTAAAGTATTCATCCCTTTTCATTGCAGTGTAAACATAATTTGACAGACAGAAATAGAAGATACTTAACTTTAGTTAAGATGCAAAAAACATAGTAATAATAATAATAGAATCACGCATTACCTTAAAAATTAAGATAAAAGAATGTGGTCGATTAACAAAGTAACAATATATAATTTTGTCCACCACAGCTCTTAATTGTAAGTCCTCCCGACATCCCTATCCTTAATAAAAGCAGTTTTATTAAATACGGCAACAATAACCCGCAAATTTCTACAATATCATAACCCATAAAAAACTGTATTCACGGCTTATGCCCATGTGCAACAGTCTATCAGTATCATAAACCGACCCGACTAAACATAATAATAATAAATCGTTTAATAAAAATATCTATAATTAAACCACGTCCGATCAAAACTCCTGACATTCCAGAAAAGTTAACGGATAACAATGGTTCGTATGCATTTGCGTTAGAAAGTTTTTTAAAATCTGTCATACAAAGTGATAAATCACCATAAATAGATGTGAATGAGTTAATTTGTTCGAGACAGACTTCGCAGACGAAATAATAACAGTACCAAGTTAAGAACTGAATAATTAAGGAGCCTTACCCGTGCGTCCCTTCACCAGTGGCAGATATGCTGTTATTTATAACGAGTTGATGCAAATATGATTATTTATAAGGAATTGCTGCTGCTACACATATATTATAAAAGAAGTTACTTAGACTATACAAAGCCAAAACAGATTACATTCATGATCAAATTATACGAAACATAATAAGTCAATTAAGTAGATTAATAGATAAAAAAATGAAATTATATATTAAACTAAAGACAACTTAACATTTTAAAGAAAAACTAAATAAACTGAATTGTTCCTTCGTAAGTAGTATAGAAATTTGATTTATTTGTAACAGCTTGCACCCGCTCAGTACACTAAATTATAAAAACTCAATGAAAATCGTCCAACTAGGACTGACGACATCGTCAAGGAGGTTGGCTCCCAGTGGATACAGAGAGGCCAGATCAGAACGTGATGGAGGAAAATGGAGGAGGCCTTCGTCCGGAAATGGACTAAATAAAGATGCTGATGATGGTGATGATAAAAGTGATGCAATGGATATCCTCATATTCTATATGGACATATATATATTCGATATTGTAACTTTTATATTATTATAGTTACGTAAATTAAATCGATAACTTACCGGTCTATTATTACAGGATCTGATGGTGTTTCATTTCTATTTCCACAACTCTTCTTATCACAGCAACGACTGCAAAAAAAAAATTATTTATGTAGAAAAGAAAAACTACCATAACGACCTACACAGCTAAATCTAAATATTGGCGAATATGTGCATATGTGTGTGTGTATGACAGAGTATGTACGAGTATGTGTTTACATGCCGTATTTCCAAGTATTTCAGCAGGTTAGTAACTAATAGAGTTACATCCCACAACGAATGATGTCAATTCTTTTTCTTTAATAAACTGCCAGATATAACACATTTACTAAAGTCTATCAACTGAATTACAAAAGTACTATTTATTAAGATTTAGTAGGAAGCCATATCCACATTAAGAAAACTCTTGCGCCCTACGGCTCCTTGACGCAAAGGGCAAAGACATTGAAAGGACAGGCTCCCCTGAGACTCCTCCCCGAAGACGAGTGACAGGGATGCACATATCGTGCAACACGAGACGAAAACATTGCGTCTAAGGTGGAATAAAATTTTAATTGATCACACATACAACACTTGTGTATTTACGCACAACTACATAGACAGTGCGGCGAGACGCGTAACGGAAAAACCACCCCAAACAAACTGTTTAATACTACCGTGTGTTTGCTTAAGTGTGTAATGTTCTATATTGCATTAAGTACGCACGTACAAAATTAGTATACGTAAATTGCACTCACACACAGGTAGTATTAAAACTTTAAAATTATACTCAACTAAAACTCTTTAAAAAACATTCCTATTGATATTATACAGACAAAGTGTTTAACGCAAGTACACAAACACAAAACAATTCTGTCTGGAGTTAATGATAAACAGGAATGTCTCTGCCATAACTAGGTTGGGAAACCACAACAGATATTTAAATCATTTCGATATGTAAGGATTCTCAGAAGAATGATTAGCAAAAGTTAACAAAAGACTGCTGGGAATAAATAAAGTTTTTCATATGATTGATGATTGTTCCCGAGAATCAATATTTACGTACTTCTGATAGAGACAGCGATACAGATACCCACCGGTTTTGTATGCAAGTTCTATGCAACCTTGGGTTGGCGCGGAAAAACTACCCATTATTGGGGAATACCGTCTGTATTGTTTTTGGAACTTACGTGGAAATTGAACCGCGCTTCTCTTTTGCGTAATAGATATCTCAGCGGGATGGGTAGCGACTTTGTTGGATACAATTTTTTTATACGGAAATGGACAACTGCCTAAATAGACATGGGGAGAAATTGGTTATGCCAATTAATCTGGAATGGTATGGAAAACACTTTCTGTATGGCAATCAGGTTTATAATAATTTACCAAAAAATATTCAACTCATGATTTATTCTATTTATGGTTATTTAACTGAACAGTATAATAAATATTAATTTGATAATGTAATAATGTACTTTAGTTATGTGATGATGTTGTGATAAAATAATACAATAATTGACTATGATGCTATGATTAATAATAATTAAAATTCTATCCTTTAATTATGTGGGACAAATTTGCACCCCATTGTATGTGGAATATGCGAAGTATAGATTATATCACCATAATATTTTGTACCATATACTTGCAAATAAATTATTATTATTACCTGCACATAACTTCGTGTGTCAGCAAAACCCTGCACATTTCTGGATTCTTGTCCTGTCCTTCATAGACGATGGGCTGAAAGAACAAAATAATTAAAACCCAAATATGACGCATCGTTTAGACTGGGACAAGATTAGGCATAATTTAATTAAAAATCGGCTTGTAGATAAGATAATTTTTCGTCTTCATCAAGTTATTACTTTTTGCTAATTTATGCACCCTTTAATACATAATCACATTTCATTATCTAAGCCGAAGGTCATTTGCATATCGTGAACCAGCTCAATAGAGCGTTTTGTTTCATAAATATTTTAATATTTTTATTTATTTAAATGTAGCTATACTCAATGGTCACATGTTAGGGAGTGGACGGGTATTGCAACTGCAGAAGAGTTACTGCATCTGGCACAGGACAAGACACGCTTCAAGAGAGATCTCTTCAAAGAAGAGAAGATACTCAATTGATGTCTAAGACTTATCTTAGATAAGTGACTAACTGCTAAGTGACCTTATACATATAAATTAAAATTATTATGTTTCAACCGTGGTTCTCAACATATATCTTACTAGCTTCACACGGGAGGACATTTAATTTTTTAAAATTTTTTGTAAATATGAATATGTTCTTTAATATTGTGGATTTTTTTTTTCTACCATCAATACTTTTTGCAGCGCATGCGAAGACATTTTATAGGCATTTTTTTACACTTTGGGTAACATTATTGTAGTTTTAGTAGGGATGCTTATTTTTTTCTTGCAATAAAAATAGCCTTTATTAATCAGTGATAATGTAGCATTCAAATGGTGAAAGAATTTTTTTAAATCAGTTCAGTACTTTTTGAGCCAATTCGTTACAAACATACTTACATACAAATATTTTTACATAAAATTTTTCCTCTTTATAGTATTATTATATAATTCATATTTCTTCTGAAACTTTTATTCAATAAATTACCATACACAGTTTATCTAAGTTATTAAAGTTACGATAAAATGTATTCACTATTTCGACCCTATACGAGCTGCCCCACACGTGTTTCGTTTATCTATTAATATCTAATTATGGTGGGCCCCGGGCTAGGGAACTAATCCCGACCATTCGATCCTTTGCCAAATGTTCAATGCAATGCATTGTTTTTGATCCAAGTTTAATTTTGTGCAAACTATTACCTAACCTACCCTTTTTAATTTAATTGTTTTTTTTTTGTTCTTATCTCTTTTGTTTTATTATTGTTATAGTTCGGGATAAGTATTTAGTTAAAAGTCCATCTCTTTGATAAGCTTATTCAAAAACTGCTGAAATTTATATCGCGTTCATTGCGTCTATTGGTAGAAGACTCCCTTGAAGAAATTGGTTGTTTTTTTATTCTTTAAAGATTAGAGATTAGATATTGATATATTCAGTAGTTTTCTGATCAATTTAAAGAGGAAGCATTGATAAGTGCCTATCTGCTGTTTAACTAGTAATTTTTTTGCGAAAAATCTAAAATTGGACGTGTAATATTTTTATAATTTTGTGTTATAAGTTACCTAATAAGATAGCTTCTAACCCTGTAGATATAGCATTATATATGATATGTTACACTTTAATAAATAAAATCTGACTTAAAATAAACTTCAGTGTCATAAATAAACTTAGAATAAATTAATCCTTAAGTATAAATATCATAGTTATATAAAGAATAACCATAATAACATGGGATATGTAATCAAAATATAAAATTAGCTTCCTAAGACCCTTAAGCCAGGATAGATTTTTCCCCAACAAAATATTTAATTGAATATGAAAGAGTGGAGCATTATCATCTTTTGTACGAAGGATTTAGCCGGATTTGTGGAGATAGGGCGTTTTGTAAGGTATTTAAGGGTCATATGAAAGTATTTTTGGGCAGCTAAATAGCTGTAGGGTATAATCGGGCATCAGGTGATATCAATAAGTGTATGGTACAGGTCATTCTAAAAGTCAATAAGTGTGTCGTATTTCTGTAACAAACACGAGTTAGGTTCGGTGATGGTTTATGTATATATATGTTAAATGAAGCTTTGTTTGAAGCTGGGTAGCAACTGGCTTTAATTGTTTGAAACATGATTATGACTAAGACTAGCTGACCCGGCAAATCGTTTTGCCATGTATAAAGAAAAATTTAGTTCAATAAAAATAACTTTCTACTAAATAGAAAAATAGAGGTTGAGGTAGAGGGGTGACATTTAAGTGTAGTATGTATTTTTGTAATTATTGTCATAAAAAATAAAAACAAAAAGTTTTGTCTAAAAAATACAAATAAAAATTTAGGGGTGGTACCACACTTAACATTTAGGGGGATGAAAAATAGATGTTGTCCGATCTCAGACTTACTGAATATGCATAAAAAAATTCATAAGAAGCGGTCGAGCCGTTTCGGAGGAGTATGGGAACGAATATTGTGACACGAGAATTTAATATATTAGAAGATAACATTAGAGGTAGTGAGGTTGCAACGCTGGATTAACGATTAACTAACTGGTCTTATTGAAGAGTTCGTAAATCTAAGACAATCATGTTATTGGACATTATCAGAATGTTACATTACAATTTATGAATGTGGTGAAAACGAAAGGACTTATATTGACTTCAATTGTGAATAAATGATTGTTTACATTTTGTTTACGCCTGTAAATATTACCTTAACTAATGTTAGATTATATAACTGGCGCTGCAAGTGTTTTGTTCAATATAAATTTTGATGACGGGGTTATTTTTATTGTAGATTCTTTTTCTTTGTATAACTTGCATGCTTACGCTTCTAACATTATTGATAAAGTATACTAACTACCGTTGCAATAATTAATCTCAACAAATCGAGCACAACTTGGATACAATAGTATACAGTTTAGATCTGAATAATTTCAGTAATATTTTTATACGTAATTTCATGAATACGAACAGAACATTAGTTTACACATAGGTTCGTGTTAAGTATGACAATGTTTTATTAACTGGTGAGTTTCATGTAGGAGCATTAGTGGACATTTTTCGTTTATTCCCTGAACTGAAAGAGTCCCCGCGGAGATCGGGCGAGAGGTATTGGCCGTCAACGCCGCATGGGATTCAATCTCTGGGGAATTTGTGGGGATTTAAAAAAATATATTCCTATTACAACCTATTCGTTGAGGTATTAGGGATAATTGTGGTATTACATGTTGTAATACATACTATATGCATTAAAAATCCCGAAAGCATGTCTGGAAACGACTATTCATACTCTAATTAGTTATGAATAAAATACAAAGACCAAGAAGGGAGTCAACATCAAGATCAAAACAAGATGACACACGCCGTCGACTTTTTGGGGTCCAAGACTTGTCGGTTTCCTCACGATGTTTTCACCGTTCGAGCAAATGTCAAATGCGCACATAGAAAGAAAGTCTATTGGTACACAGCCAGGGATTGAATCTACGACCTCAGGTATTAGAGTCGCGCGCTGAAGCCACTAGGCTGACACTGTGCTCTAAAACTCTGATACTCTTTTTAAAACAAAAAACATGTCATCAGTAACAAAAGATTAATTTTTATCACACTGAAACTTACACTCGCAAGCATGAAGTGAACAAAGAGGAAATAAAAATTCCTTTAGAAAAGAAACCGACAAGACGCAGTGCGCTGCAAACAACGTGATTTACATGAGCGACAACAATTCTAGACTTTGAATTTGTTTCTGCTTTTGTTTTATACTTGTTGTTGGTACCTACGTAAAATTAAATTAATTCTAAACAGACAATTCTAAATCCCAATTTATTGAGTTGGTCAGGTACAGGAGTAACTTCCACTCCCTCTTCCTCCTTTCAGAAGAACTAGTTTTGACCACCGTTATCCAGATTGAGCATTCTGATAAATGAGCTAGGTCTGTCCATAGTTGCTTTAGTTTTATAATTTAATTTTTATTTATCCCTTCGTGTATGTTATGATAGTCTATAAGTGGTCATCTCATTAAATCTTGTATTTTATTTTTCTTACGTACCAGTATCAGTGTGGTAAAAAATCATAAATAAAATATAACATGACTAATATTGCTATATTAAAAAAAATACTAAAGTACAGTAACAATAGTAACTGGATCTTGGCCTTAAATTTTTCAGCCTCTTCGGTCATTTTATAGACAAGTAGGTGAACAGTGGACACATGTTATCGATTTTTATATTTGAGACATACCCGATTCATTACGATCTTTCACCGTAGAAGCAAGTACTAATTGCAATTAGTACTTGCTTCTACGTAGTACTTTCACAAAAAGAAAATTCCATTGGTTCATAGACGTCATATGCGTCATATGCATATATTCTTAAGCCACTAATATAAGCCAACACTGCTGATATAACACAGCAATAACTATAGTACATATAAACATATATATAGTAAAGATTTATAATATATATTCATTATTCCAAACTTCTTAATTTGATAGCGACATCCGACGAAAGTAATACGATACACTTGCATGGGAAAAATTTCAAAGTTTGTAATGCAGTAATCGACTATTATCACAATGGCTTCCGAAAGTCATTTCGCCAACAAAAAGAACCAAATTAATATGTTGTTTGAACGATGTAAAGTAAACACAATCAGTTGGTCACGTGCTACGCGCGCGGCGTCTATTCAAACCGTCCAAGTTCTATGGGATTTGGCCGAATCTCATTTTACGTTCTTAAGACTATGTTCAAACAGAGGGTCTGATTTTAGATATTGATATGATAGTGATTTAGTGTGAGAATATAAATAATCCCCTCTTTGTTTGAATCTATACTTGTATTATAAATAGGAAAGATTTGTATGTAAGTATGTTTATAACGAATCAAAAAGTCGACCGATTTTAAAAATTCTTTTACCATTTGAATGCTACATTATCACTGATTAATGTATTTTAATTGCAATAAAATAATAAGTATCCCTACTAAAATTACAATAATGTTACCCAAGGTGTAAAAAATTTATATAAAATATCTTTCATCGCATGCGCTGCGAAAACTATTGTTGATAGAACAAAAAAATGTTCTACAATATTAAAGAACAAATCAATATCTACAAAAATATTTAAAAAAAATCCAATTGTGCAAAGCCGGAACGGGCCTTTAGTTTATTAAAATGAAACTGCAAATGAATCATCAGCGTGAAAAGACAGCCCTTTAGTAATTAATTCTTGGTTACATCTAGCGTCTAGACGTCTATTTTTTCGGTGGATAGTTGCGTGCAGGGTTCGCATGCACGGTTACCACATTAGCTGATTGCTCGTGTGCCCTCAGCCTAACGTTTTAATACAATTAAATCAACCGCAATTCGCTATTATCCGAACGCCATCTTTGTCGACGTTTTAGTTCAATGACTGCTTTGCGTGTCACTCTCGTCTTTTAAACGTTAAATCCTATGTTACAAACATATATTATATATAAACATACTAACAGACTCGGCAAAGCGTTGCTGTGGCTATGGATGTTATATTACATTGTAGTAAGCTATTCAAGAGAATGAGAAGAGAACACCAGTCATGGGGACCACCATGCTTGGGGACCACCATGCTTTTTGGTGGTTATGCCATTAAATTGTAGCTTATGCGAAACGCTGGTACTTTCAACACAGCGCCATCTGTTAGAATTGTAACTGTCAAATAATTTGCAATAAAATAATAATACGGGTATAAATTGAGATTTAAGCTATCCTATCTTTTAAGTTAGATCGAACTGCACACGGTGTGCAAATTTGATTGAAATCGGTTAAGTAGTTTAGGAGTCCATAACGGACAAGCAACGTGACGCTTAATTTATATATATTAAGATAATACTTGTTTACAGAATAATTCGACATGTCACGAAACAAAAGCGAGGGTCTCGCAAGGTTTGGCAATTATCACACGAGTTTATTACATAAATAACAATTTTAGCTTAGCAAACCATCATGAAACTTTGTGTACTTCACATATATAATTTCAACACGTCCCGGCCTCTTAGTGTTGTGTAACAAGAGGCCAATTACGAAAGATTTATGCCATGAACATAATTAACTTAGGCCGAACGTTGTTAACTAAGAATTACGGAATTGTTTCGCATTTGTTTCTTTTCGTTGCAATCTTCTGCCATCTCATTTCTATTGTTTATTTAACAACTGGTAAAGGAAATTTATATAATTTGAGCAGTGTTGACCTAGTGTGCGACTCTCATCCCTGAGGTCGTAGGTTCTATCCCCGGATGTGCACCAATGGAGTTTTATTCTATGTGCGCATTTAACATTCGCTCGAACGGTGAAGGAAAACATCGTGAGGAAACCGGCTTACCTTAGTCCCAAAACGGCGTGTATCAGGCACAGGAGGCTGATCACCTACTTGGCTATTAGATTGACAAATGATCATGAAACAGGTACAGAAATCTGAGGCCAATCCCAGCCATTGATTTATTTATTTATTTTAAAACGAAATTTATAAACAATTGTGTATGTAAATCGTGAGATACTTCGTGAGTATTTATTGAACCTTTCAGTATTCAGTATAAATTTACAATGGCGCTCAAAGCTTCTTTTTAATATTGACGTTTATAACCTATATGAATAAAATCATTTTGATTTAATTTGTTTCACCTCAGATTTCTCAGTATCTATATCGCCACTTACTTAATATTCAAGTATTAGCTTTTTGTATCACATGCCGTCTAGATTTGTGTCTAAAGCATGCCGGTTTCCTCGCGATGTTTTGCTCCACCGTACGAGTAAACTGTTTATTGCGCAATCAGGTAAAAAAAACCTCGATGTCATGGTACAGAGTCGCATATCAAGCCCCTAGGCTAAGCTGGTGGTAATTAACAATAACAAAGGCGAGAAGGCTGTTTAGTTTTGTAATCTGATTATAAAAACAATTACACTTAAGTAGTTGATGTCTAAATATGAAAATATTTCTTCGTTATAGAGAGTCGCCGTTGCATTATAAAGAGTAAATTAGTGTATTGGGTTTGATTTAAACCAAACAAATATTACCCGTTTACGTTATAGAGAGTTTTTCGTTATAACGAATGATGTTATAAAGAATTTACATTGTATTAAAATACTAAGACGAACAGGAAAATATGATTCCCATAACCATAGGGTGAATTTATGTCAATTTAAGTTGACCAGAGGTTGGGTGGGCGTGCAGATTGTACCTAATCTGTGGGCGATGAGAATTGGCCGCGCGTAGGCCACGTGCACGTCACGTGTCTGTGGTACCCTTACAGAGGTGACTTGTGCATATTTCCTATTACTTTATGTTATTACTTATTAGTATTGTGCATACATTAATCTTTCTTGTAAGCTGATATGTTTTCAAGAGATTGTTAACGCTACGATGGCTACGGCGTAGCTACTGGTTCACGGGCTTTAGAAAAATTACTCTAAAGCACGTTTTATTTTTTTGCAATGCTATGTCTTATTTCTAAGATAGTTGGAGAGTAAGACTAAGAACTAAGTTATATCTATTAAACGTGCTAGTCTCGACTCTGAATTGCTTGTGATGGTCTCTTAATGTTTGAACATCGAATTGGGCTAATACATTTATGTGTATTGATCATAATTTTATTATAAATAGAGTTTTCTAAGCAATTATTATATCAAATGAAACCAAAGAACGAACTATTTAGTAAAAAAAAATCCAGTAAAGGGATTGTTGTTGATTGTTACACTCAACAAGACTTGCATTATTTATTTTTATTTATAAAAAGGTTAAGGTTTAATGTTTTCTTGTTTTGTTTTTATTTTATTCTTAGTTTTCATTAATAAGTTTTCTATTGTATTATTATAACGTTAATGTAAAAATAACTAATAATTATTCCTTAACAAAATATGAACATAAAAACATTAAGAATAGTAAATAAAGCTAATACAATATAAACTATAAACAAAACTCACCTGTTTGGTAACGGAGTCTATGAGCCGAACGAATATATCCTGTTCCTGTCTGATGCCTGGAACAAATGCACTACAGTTACATAAATCATCATTTGAGACAGAAATGTTTTCACAACTCATTTGTACTCCCTAACGTTAGACTTGGTACACACTCTTTAAAACGTAGGATATATACTTATTATATTGATGATAGGTATTTTTTATACTATAAAACAAAATATATATGTATAATTGAAGTTATACTTCTTTAGGCGCGTTATGAAAAATTGATGAAAGTGAAATTTTTCGATGCGCGCGCACCGTGACACAAAATTAACAGAATGAAGTTGCCCACGGAAGATGCTACGGCATTGGACATAATTTTAAAACAACATTCGAATAATAATAGAATTTATGTTACACTTAATGTAAGAGAATAATAATAAATATTTATTTATTTAATTTTTCAAATGTAAACTGAACTTTATTGACTATAATGACTCCTTTTAGAGTCTTTGATTATTTAATTTTAAATAATTATTTTTAATAATGCCAAAGAAGTATAACTTCTTACGCGCGTACATAAGTACACGCACCCTTCTTTAATAATAAGAATCTTTTCAGACGTTTTTTTTAAATATTTTTCTACTTGTCGAAAGGTTACATCATTTTATAGAGCGTTAAAAAACGTATTAGTAATTTACAATTCATAATAAAATAGTTCACAAGAACAGAGTGTCTTCCCCTTAATAGAGACTCTAAGTAGTTTTATTGGACATTTATGTCAAATATCTTTTTTATTAAATAAGTTCAAATGATATCTTTGTGTAGAGACAATTATTATTTACGTGATATTCCGATAAAGCAATGAAACGTTATAAAACTCTTTATAAGTGTGGAGACTGAAAAGAATAAAACCATTTGAACTAGTGAATTAGTGTTAGTGCACGTTAGACTTAAGTGCTAAACAGTGGTAAGTGAAAAAAATTGACAAGAACAGTGTCTTCTATTTATTAGAGACTGTAAGTAGTGGACACTTTCTTATGTTAAATATCCTTATTAGTAAATAAGTTAGACATAAAATACTTATTAGTCTGAAGTTAGGCTAGTATGTAATTTTCCATGTCTTAGTGACATAAAGACACATGTATTAAAAAATAATAATATGTATGAAAGCGGAATAAAGAAATTATTTAATGTACAAAATAATCTAAACCCAGCTTTAACAGTATTACACATAGCAGCAATAAAGCGCAAGCGAGCTTCCTACGCCAAAGACATTGCACAATTTGTTAACTCCTTCAAATTACATTTTCCTTTTTCCTTACAGGGATATTATAGCTGAATTAAGAAGCACCCTAAGCGTTAATTCGTATGTAATTTCCTTGACATATTTAATTTTGTGCGATTGCCACGCATTTATAGGGCGATAGGGAAATTATTTAGTCACGAATCCGACACATTAAAAATAGCAAATGATAATTGATTTAATTGAAGATTTTAAATTAAACTCTTTGATTTTTTGATACGCTTTTGATGTTACGGGAAATAATAATAACATGAACTAATACTTATCTGTGGAAAATTGTGTTTGTGTTTTCTTGTTTTATTCATACATATTTTGTTCTAAGTTTAATTTTTATATTAAAAAGTTTTCCATTGTATTATTATAAGTTACCGTAAGAATAGAAAATAAGGAAATAAATGAACAAACTTAAATTATATTTATTCAAAATCGTTAAATAGATCTCAATTATTACGTATTTCTCCAAACCGAATATTTATTCGAATATAAACGTACTATTATTTGGTACCAATTTTCCATTATTATGACCGAACCAAGACGACCAATATTTACTGTCAGCCTATTCATTGTCTAGAGTAGCGATGAGAGAATAGACCATTGCACTGTCTACTCTGTATGATAGAATTTTAATAGGACTTTAGGGACTCTACTAAAAGGTTTGATTTCAGAAGAGAGAAAATATATATTTATATAAAGCAACATAATCCTAAAAATAGGCCCAAAGAAGAAATCATATGTGCATAGGCTGTTCCTTACAGAATACACTTTCAAACTAAGAGCATTTTTATTAATATAAATAATATTTTGTATATAAATTAATAAAGTGTGGAAATATTTTAGTTGAACTCACCATTTGCATAAAGCAATTGAAGCCTATATTGAATCCCGTTGTTTGTTTTTTGTCCTTCGGCTTCCTGTAAAAATAAACATTTATATCCGTGAACAATTTATTGATATTTTAAACTAATTGTTCCCAAACTTCGTTTCACCTTAATATTATTTTTTTACTTTTAAGTAGCTACATACTAACATATGGAACACTTTGCTTTGACCCATAGTGACCTATAGAGACCGTTCGCTTTTGCGAAATAAAACTAATTAATTTTCCTTCCCATAAATTCCTTACCTCAAAGTTAAAAGTAAGGAAAATATATATTACTAGCAGACCGGCCAAGCGTTTCTGTGGCTAAGGTTTTTGTTTATATTACATTAGCAAACTATTCAAGGGAAACGGTAGGAAAACACCAGTCATGGGGGCCACCATGCTTTTTTGGTGGTTATACCATTAAATTGTAGCTTATGTGAAACGCTGGTTCTTTCAACACAGCACCATCTGTTAGAATTGTGACTGTCAAAAAATTTGCAATAAATTAATATTGCGGGTATAAATTGAGATTTAAGCTATCCTATCTTTTAAATTAGATTGAACTGCACACGGTGTGCAAATTTGTTTGAAATCGGTAAAGTAGTTTAGGAGTCCGTAGCGGACAAGCAACGTGACGCTTAATTTATATATATTAAGATTAATAAAAAGATTGAATTATAGACTATATGATTTTAAAACACTTTCACGAAACCATAGACATAAATTCCATCTAATAGTATTTATTGCTGGCCAGCGACAAATTGAAAAGTGTTTGGTAAATTAAAAACATATGCATATGCATACTCCTTTGATTATGAATGGGTTTTAAAAAGTTTTTATACCGGAATAAAAAGTAAAATGATAGCATAGTACTAAGTAAACAACCTATGATAGCATGTTTGCTACTAAATAATAAATGCTGGGTGAACAAACAAGATGTGTGAATGCACGACCCGCGTGGCCTACTTGTTATATTTCTAAATTTTTTTGCCGCGTTTTTACTTATGTTTTAAATTAACTGTATTAAAATTAATTTATGTTACGCTTGTTAAGGATAAATACCATTTCCCTACAACGAAAACAAAAACTTCATTGTTCGTATATAAAAAGATCCTTTGATGATTATATCTTTATATATATAATTCTACTGTACGTGTGTATGTCACTGCACTCCTCTTAAACAGCTGGACCGATTTTAATGAATTTTCTTGTATGCGTTTGGTTGGTTTAGTTTCACAAATCAGCCCGGCCGGTGGCGCTGCAGTCTGTATCTAGGTTATTTATCTATACAGCAAATAAACAGCTGGTATATATAAACCTTCTGTGCGTGTGTGTTCGTAATTAAACTCCTAACCTTCTTTTTGTTTTTAGCTAGTTTTAGCCCAAATCTTATATGAGCAGTGATGGCCTAGTGGCTTCAGCGTGCGACTCTCATCCTCGAGGTCGTAGGTTCGACCCCCGGCTGTGAACCAATTATATTTCTATCTATGTGCGCATTTAACATTCGCTCGAACGGTGAACGAAAACATCGTCGTGAGGAAACCGGCTTGTCTTAGACCCAAAAAGTCGACGTGTGTCCGGCACAGGAGGCATCACCTACTTGCCTATTATATTGACAAATGATCTTGAAACTGATACAAAATCTGAGGCCCAGACCTAAAAACGTTTTAGCGCCACTGATTTTTTTTGTTTTGACACCATTTTTAAACTCTAATAATACAATTAAAAGTACATGAAAAAGCTTCCGCAGTCCAATCTCTAAACAGCTCAAACGCTATTTTAAAGTATTTAAATATAATATAATACCACCAACGCAGTCAAATTATGTAAATACAATTGCACACAATAGAGAGCCCTGTACGATCCTGATTGATGGACGAACCGGCTGATTCACGATATTTATCAAATGGATTTATTGATAAACGCACCATTTATACATTGTACTAATACAAAGAATAATTTTAATGCTTTAATCTCGTACCAATATATTCAAAGTATAAAGATGTACGGGGAGTTCTTTATTAAAAGAGTTGATAATATAATTTTTTTTAAATACCCCTTGTTTGGATTAATACTGCAGCTAAGTTTCACCATCGGACGTCGAAGCAGAATAAGAAATTCCACCCGTATCACCTCGACGTCCGTCGTTCCACAACGGAGCGTTTTTTAAGGCAGTTTTTGCCGCGCACCACCACTATGTGTCACTGCTCATTGAAGTATTTCCGTACCAATTCGAATTAGGGTCTTTTAAGAAAAGAGCGTACCAATTCGCATTGAGAGTGTCCATGGGCGGAGGTATCTCAAATCTCCTACCAGTTAGCCCCCTAGTGTTTAAATAAAAACCCCCTATATAGTAGCCTATCAGGCACGCCATCTGGCAGATCTGTGACAAGAAGAGAGGCAGCTGAGGAGTGACAAATCTCCCCTCCTCCTCGTAAAAAGAGACTTTATTTGATTTAACTTAGGTTTAGTGAAGTTGGCGTCTCCCACCGGGCTCTAAAGACAACTACTCTGGAAAAAAAACGAGTCGGAGCTGGCCGGACATTTTTGACAATTCTATGGCAGAATTTTTCCAGCAAAACTATTAATATGCCAGATTAAAACTACTCCATATTATCTGTAGGGACGCGAAATTTATAAGCCGGTGTAAACTAAATCATTGTGATGATTAAAGTCATTTTAATTCAGTATATTGCATTAAAAAGTATCTTACTTGATCCTTTTCTATAAAGCCTATGAAAGCAGTGCGCTCAATCTCGATTGGTTGTCCCGCCCGATCATACAACGCGACCACGAAATGGAAGAAGTTGCTCTTACGCAGGTTGCTAGGAGGCTGCTTCTCGAAGTGCGCTCGACCAACACCCACGCTACTAAAAAAAAAATAGAATAACATTACATGGAATCAGTTTATTTTATCAAATACTGCACTATTCAATTACAAAAATGTGACAGTTGCTCCACTTTAAACAATATATATGCATATTTATTATGATCCGTTACGTAAATATTACTTTAATATCCAGACGTGAATGCAACAGAATAGATTTGGCGGCAATGGCGCCCCTTGGCGCCACACTCGATGTTGCGTCAGTGTCATCCAGGATACAATTTAGCTTTGATGTTGCAAACTGACAGTTGTCACTGTCTTATTGATGTAAGTGTTACAGTAATTAAATTGTAATTATTGGGCGTGTTCGGCCGAAGTAAGTACTTACTAAACTTAGTAAGCCAGTAAGCATAAAAAAATTACGTCTTACAAGCTGACTGTAGCGCTTTTCGGCCAGGACAGACTTACTGGCTTATTAACATAACACAAAACACCGGTTTATGTCATATCCCGTACATAACCTCATAGACTGAATATAATTGACAGTACTAAATTTAGGAATATAATTTAATACCTGTGAATAGTTTCAAATGGATAATTTTATGAGAAATATTTTATTGGATATTTTATTGTCCGTTTTGTTTACATCAACAATAAGCAAAATGGCGTCGTATATTAAGCCATACTTACTGCGTTAGCACTTATTTTGTGTCCCGGCCGAAAATTTTGTAAGCATAGTAAGTGACTTACTAAATTTAGTAAGTACTTACTTCGGCCGAACACGCCCATTATCTCGGAAAAATAAAGTATGATCATCGTTATAAAAACACAAATTTACTTAACTGAAAGACAAAACATAAACCAGATTATACCCATAAATTACTCGAATAAAGACAGTCATAAACTACAGAACGTCATCTATAACTTTAAAACCACGGTGACTAAACATTTTACGGTCTTATTCAAATAAACGGAAACAATAGAACAGATTAAAAATCCTTTCAAAATGATTTACGATACTGCGGTCGGAAAGATATGACTATTTGCAAATTGCCAACGTCCACTTTTTATATCAATTCAACCCTAAAACGCGGGCTATATTTGTCCATCGACATATAAAATCTACGTATTTTATCGTGAGAATCTATTACAAAAACGGCTAGTATTGAGATACAGAGTAAATATAATAACCTCGCCTAGTGTTTTAGCGTGAGTTTTTCAACATTAAAGATGTGTTTTCAATTCCCAATCAGGTACAAAAGACCTTTTTAACAAATGAAAAATGATTATCTAAATTGATAAGCCGAACGTTCGATACTTTGTGAAATACAAAGAATGTATATTTTTGGTAAAGGTTGCTAACCTTTAAAATTAAACCCAAAGTAATAATCAAAAGATTTGATCGTCTAGAACCAATATTCCTTACTGAAGACGTAATTTTCAGTACGAGTTTATATGAAAGAGCTGTACTGGCAAGAGCTATTTTTAAGGCGTTTAAAGCGACGTTGGTGTATTGAGGAATAAGTCAGGGAATTGTTGCCATACTAAACCTTTATTAAAGTGATTAACGGCGATGGAAGTTATAAAATTGACCTATTTATCATCGATATAGCACAGTATACGTGACAACACTATCAATATGGCATTACCCGGCCTGTATTACGCTACGGTAGCCCATTCATCTCTCCGCTGCAGAATTTGCGTAAACAAATTGGTTTCGCGATTGCCATTTTATACCCTCGCACGCGATGCTCCATTGTTTTATTTATCGCCACCAGTTTCGGCAGCGCACTCGCGATTAGGTTGTAGCGCTTTTTTCGCTTACAGATCACGGTAGATTTGTCAATCTTCGATGCGATTTTGTTTTTCGGTAATGGCAACATTTTTACGAGGAATTTTGGAGTCGGGTGTTTTTTTTTGTGTCCGTTTAAATGTGTAATTAAGAGCAATATATATCTGTATGTTTTGTTTTTAATATAATGAATTATGTATAAGAAAATGTTTAATATTAAATGCATAGGTTACACAATATATAAGCCAATTGAATTCCTTATATTAACTTTTCAATTTTACTTTACTAAACAATACTTACATTTAAAAAAAATCACATTTAAATTTTTGAATGTAAAAAGATTCATGACTATGTTTTATTTATTTTAGTAACTGTGTGTGTCGAGCGGTGTTAGCTTAGTGGATTCAGCGTGTGACTCTCATCCCTGAGGTCCTAGGTTCGATCCCCGGCTGTGCAAAATTGACTTTCTTTCTATGTCCGCATTTAACATTCACTCGTACGGTGATGAACATCACGAGGAACCTACTTGCCGATTAAATCAAATCAAATCAGATTGACAAATCATGAAACAGATACAGAAATCTGAGGCCCAGACCTAATAAGGTGGTACCACTGTTTTATTATTTAGTTTTGACTTTTTTTTATGTTACAGGAGGCAGACGGGCAGGAGGCTCACCTGATGTTAAGTGATACCGCCGGCCATGGACACTCGCACTGCCAGAAGGCTCGCAAGCGCGCTGCCGGCCTTTTAAGAATAGGTACGCTCTTTTCTTGAAGGACCCTAAGAAGTTTTTTCATGTGTCAGGCCACGCACGTTTGGCTTATACATATTTTAATTACCAAAATGCATATTAGATTAATGTGCATCATTATATAAGAGTAATTTGACAAAAACCATGTAATCGTCGAAGGGTGGGTCTTAATGACTTGAACTTAACAAATGAGCCTGTCATCGCTTCCGCTCGGCTATCTATTCGTATTTGTCATTAAATTCGGGATTAAATTTTGATTAATGATTTAATTATGGAAGTGTTTTAATGTCTGAATTAATGATAATACAATTAGTATAAGAATGTATTTTTGGTTTTCAAAAGTGGCTTGTGTATAAATATTTACAGAAGAGACAATTTTATTTATACTCCATTTTTTATTGTTGTCTGTGCACTACTTCCTTCAGTCAGACCGACAGACAGTCTTCTGTCTTATATACCCATTAATTATATATATAAAGCAATGTCTATACAGATATATAAAAGATAATCTATGAAAACTTTTTTATCTGATTTATTTTTTATTTTATTCGCAATGAAGACGAGCCTAGAAATTTATAAAAAATCAGTTATTCCAACCGTTCACGAGTGTAAATAGTAGTTGTTTAATATAAAAGATAATCTATGAAAACTATTTTATCTGATTTATTTTTTATTTTATTCGCAACGAAGACGAGCCCAAAAATTCAGAAAAAATCGGTTATTCCAACCGTTCACGAGTGTAAATAGTAGTTGTTTAATATAAAAGATAATCTATGAAAACTATTTTATCTGACTTATTTTTTATTTTATTCGCAACGAAGACGAGCCCAAAAATTCAGAAAAAATCGGTTATTCCAACCGTTCACGAGTGTAAATAGTAGTTGTTTAATATAAAAGATAATCTATGAAAACTATTTTATCTGATTTATTTTTTATTTTATTCGCAACGAAGACGAGCCCAAAAATTTATAGAAGTTCGTTCTTTAAATCCGTTCCCGAGCGTAAATAGTAGTTGTTTTATATAAAATATAATCAATGAAAACTATGTTATTTATTAAGTAATTCAATAGACGAATTATTGAAAAAACCCATACTTAACACGCAAGTAATGAAGTACAGCATTTGGTTTATGATGTATTGATGCACTCTCGAATTAGTACGCATTGTTTGCGAAGGGTTCTGACATCTGTCGAGTTTTAGCTCTCGAATGTTTATTCTAGCCATACGTAACTCTATGTCAACAATTTACTGTAATTGTTTATTTTTTTAATTTCATTGACAAACACTTGTTGGATGGGTATGGTTAAATTACTTATTGGTTATACATAATTAATATCTCTATCTATCTATTTGCCTGTTTTACTTAGGCAAATAGATTTTTGTCTTGTTGTTATTGTTTACCGAATGATCAGTGTTTTTGTTGTATAATAATAGTTTTAGTTACAATTTTGCGTATATATCTAATATATAAAATTCTCGTGTCGCGGTGTTTGTGGTTAAACTCCTCCGAAACGGCTTGACCGATTCTCATGAAATTTTGTGTGCATGTTGAGTATGTCTGAGAATCGGACAACATCTATTTTTGATCCCCCTAAATGTTAACGGTAGTCCACCCCTTAATTTTTTTTTTAATTTTTAGATTTTTTTTTATGATCTCTACGATCAACCCCTATTTTTTATTATAAATGATATACATGGCAAAACGACGTTTGCCGGATCAGCTAGTGTACTATATAACTACATATATTTTTTAACTATTCTTGTCTAATATTGAATTGTTTAGTTCACCAAATATATCCAAATAGTAAGATAAATATTTGGTTGTTTTAAAAACATTAAAAATATATTAATGGTTTAAATATATTGTAGACGGAACCTTATGGTCTTATTCTTAACTTTATTAAAAAGGCTGGGGCGGCCGCAGTGCAGGTGGAAAACAATAAACGGCTCAAAAATAAGAGTTTTTCCTCAAACTTCGATTTTGGAGAGGAGACTCTTGGGCCGTGGGGTTCCAGTACACAGGCGTTAGTTAAAGATTTTAGTTGGCGACTGGTAGATAGTACCGGTGACCCCAGAGCTGGTGCATTCGCTGGACGAATAAGTATCGCAATACAGCGAGGAAATGCTGTCAGCGTTAAAGGTACACTGCCACAGGAACCAAACTTTTTAAATGTGTTTTAATCTTCCTTAACTTTACTAATTACTTTATTTTAAATATACCCAACAGTGCAATTATAAACAATTAAACAATCAGAAACCAACAAATAGATGTTAAAAGTTGAAAATTTAAACCTTAAAAATCTATAATTTTATTGACGAATTTCTCAGTCCATTTATTCGATTATATAGCTATTGAAATGTAAAATGGTCCGTTCATTATCTGTAGGTACGCGTTATGATTTATAACGCCCTTTTCATGAATGCCCACTTGTTACCGCTAGTTCATTATCGGAACGAATTTGCGCACCCCTGATTGGACACGGCACCAGTTATTGTATGAGAATAAATCATTGTGTTTTAGTATGTAGACGTTGGGAACAAAGTTGTAGAGTAGAATTGCTTTTAGTTTATATGATTAGGATTAGATTTCGCTAGAAATATTTATTTATTTACGAAAAACACAATCCTAACAGGTGACCCGAAATCGTCAAGAATGAGAAAAAAGAGTGGCGGAGAGTTTATGGACAGTTCTTCTCTTCCGTTCTACGCCCTAGAAATAAGAACTGGCAGTAAATGTAAAATTAGAAGCATTTAATGTATATTTATTTTTTGTCGTTCAAAGTGTATATTATGTCTATATGAATAAATTATTTTTGACTTTTTGACTTTTGAAAAGAATTTACACACGAGACAAACATAAGAAATTAATTAGGAAAACAAAATTCCATAATACAAACAAAAAATAAATTTAGGCACCAACATATGTTGAATACCATTAAACGTGATATATTTAGTATAGTATTTTTATAAAGATTTTTTAATAATGTAAAATTTATTTATTTTGTGGTAATTAAATTTTTACTAAACATAATCAAAGAGCAGTGCATTTTAATTAAAGAGTTAAAATGTATTACAAATATTTAACTGAAGTTTTGAACCATTAAAAGCAATCGCATTTCAAAATGAATCAATTTTAAATTGATCAACATTTAAAAAAATATAGTTTCACTTCTATTTACTGAGATTAAACTTAAATATATTTGGTTGGTAGGTTACTTTTGGTTTTTATTACGTTATTAAAGGAGTGATTAACAAAAGTCTTGGTCGGAGTTGTAATACATTAAATAAACGTCTTTTCCTTTTTAAATATTTTTCTGTATTTACTACAACACAATAGCCCCTATCGAATTCAACCCATAATCCCGTACAGCGGATTTCGTTAGCCACTTCGTTAATACAATTTATCGAATTTGGTTGCTCTTTTCGTCCACTAATTGGCTTATTATCCCCCAAATTCAGAATACATCTTGTTTTCACATTCTAAATTCAAATGAATTAGATTCTCTGTTATTTGTGAAGCGAGCCGTCCACAATTGACATTTTTATTTGATTAATATAACACTCATTTATAGATAATACATAATTAAGTTTATATACTAATTTTCTTTTATTTAATAAAGACTTACTTATGTTTGACAAAGAAAATTAATACATACTTTTAGATATTTGAATTAAGTAAATGTTTACACAAACATCTATATCTTTTCATTGCATAAGTTAAAGCTATATTCGTATGGTCACAAATGTACAATTTATTTAGTAATAAACCCTGGTCCTAAATTTTTATTTGAACGCAAATCGAACCAGGAACATACCGTAGGTATACCTTAATAAAACTGTTGAGTGTTATTTAAAATTCCTATTTAAATCAAGTCAGTGAACTTACTTGGTATTGTCAACTAAGGAGCTGGGTGTCATCCACGCTCGCGTGAGCGGCTCTTCTTTGAGCGATGTGACAGGTCCTCGAGGCTGTGTATGTACCCCCGCAGCCTCTTGGTGATGTAGGCCGAACATAAGTCCACCTAATGAAAGAATATTCATATTTCAGTAACAGATTAAACGTAAACTTTTTACGAAATTATAAAACATCTATTTCAAAGCAAACTTATTATTGGTTATACTTAAAAAAAGGACTTTAACGGAAACGCGATTTATTACATTATTTACGTTTTAGTGCTTTACAGAAATCTCGGACAGAGTTTTTTAAAAATGCCATAAATTTACGAGTGTTTTTTTTATAATTAAAAGACAATTGTGAACATTTTCATTTAAACTTTAGCTTTTTTAAAGGGAAAATTTCATGTTAAATTGTCAACGATTACAAGAATATGATAAGGTTATGAACCAACTATCAGAAGATGCACAATTTAATGGAACCCACTTCTTGCATTCGTCTAATAGTAACTACATATATTTTACAATGTTGCCTGAAGTCAGCAAGTATGAGAGATAGCTATCAATCAATTTGACTATATTTATTTTTAGTACAGGTTCCCAACAATTATATTACCTTCTATCTTCTTCTAGAAATCTGTAAGATACTAATATCTTACAGATTTCTGAGCTAAATTATCATGGGTATCAGTTGGAAACAGAATAATAAATATAGCCAGATAACCAAAACAAATGAATAATATTGAAGCCAGCCGTGTTAAAGAAAAAAATCTAATTATTTCGAACAATGTTTATAAGTTTTTTAAATTAACGGTCATTAGTATTTTTTTTTTTATATTATTTAACATTAAATTTGAGAATTAATGATACAAGTTAATTTTGGATAGTGTATTTTTATTTTTCAGCAAAAATACTCTCTAAGAGAAAATTTATTCAAAAATTAAGACTAATTTATTGTAATTTTGAATATATTTACAATTTTTAAAAATTTATAGCTAGGAAAATATAAATTAACCGAAGTAATTTTTTAAAATACCTATACAAAAAATCGCGTCACGTGATAATTTCTAAGAACTTTTTTATTGTGACCCAAATAAAGTTTCACTTAGCGTAGCACATCGTAGCTATCCGTAGCACTCGTAAAACAAAAGCAAACTCAAACAATCTACATTCTACACTGATCCGAATTTATACGCGTTTATAACATTTTATCACTTTTACTTATACATTTTCTCGACATTTAGCTTTTTTCTTCACCAAAAACAAAAAATTAATTCTTTGTCAATATAACAGATTTCAGCACCAAATAATAACAAACAATTACATATTTGGAATTTAGAGTTTTTTAAGCGTAAAATGATAAATTACATACCGGAGGACCTCGGCGCGCCTGAAGGGTACAGTTTTCGTCCCCATCCCACGGGATCTAGTTCCAGCGGCGGCCACGGCGAGCCAGTGTACCCGCCCGCCGCCGCGTTTAACTCGTCCGACCGAATCGCGAATCACGACCGGACACCCGATCGGGCGCCCGAGAGCGCACGAACACTCGCGGAAAATAACGAACTTTAACACGAAACTGCGTTCTTTTTTTCTACTTTTACAACTTTTTTTATTCGCACACAAATATTATATCTATCTCAATGTCCGCTGCATTTTAAAACACAATTTTAATCACTAGAATTTCTGTAGGAAATAATATTTTTAGCAAAATAGAAGAATTCAAAGATCTAAATGTAATTCAAGATTTTAAATAAATTCTAAAAGTTCTAAGTACCGCAGCGGTTATCGCTAAGGGATAGAGTCCCGGTTGTACGGGCGATCCCGTTGTGAATTTGCGGAACACTAACAAGCGTCGCGGGAGCGCGCCGCCGAGTGCACGAGTTGCGCTGCGTCCCCGTCCGTCCCCGCGGACTGTGGGAGGCGCCCTTGGGACACGCCCTCGCCTCGAGAGCGGGACGACCGCACTAGCGCAGATGGCGCCACTTTCCAACAATTCCATCACTGTTATTAAATTCAAATATCGAACAGAAAACCCCAGTTATAAATGTAAAATTCAAATATTTTTTCTGGTATTTTTCAGCCAGCACACGTGCGGTTTTAACATGGATGTGTATAGTAATGGCGGCTCGCTGTGGAGGTTCTCCTCGGAGACCGAGTAAGGGATGAGGCGATGAGACGAATAGAGTCTCTTCGGGCCCTCAACTGGGACGGCCTAGTAAGTATTACTTATTAAATGTTACATTGACGATGATGAAATTTCAGTGGGAATTGACTTTAACAACTGCTAGATGAGGTTTTGTCGCCACATTAATTATTGAATACCTTTGTGAAGTTGAGAAGTTTGTGATGTGAATATATTATGGAGTAGGATTGGGCATGAAACAGTATTCATCTAAGAATCTTACGTAGGTAAAGAAGATTTAAAGACCTTTGTAAAGAAGTGCTTATTTGAAAATTTTGAAATAAAAATTGTATAACTGTTGACACTATAAATACAACGTTTTTAACAAGACATTTTGAAATTGCCTGTTTGCCTGTACTCATCGTGGGCTGGGTATTGCTTTTTTTAATATTTTGAATGGAATATAGCCTTTATTACCTATGGGTAAACGTGGCATTCTGATTGTGAAAGGTTTTTTAAGAGCAGTAGTTCATGAGTTACAAACCTCATCGCAATATGTATTTGTATAGGCATTTAATTCGTATCGGAGATGTTAGATATCTGTATGGCTGTAGATTATTAAGTAAATAACCTTTAAGATTCGGATTTGTATAGGATTTAGTTAAACGAAAAAAAGACTAATCGATATTTACTGCCGTTAAATGATGTAAAACGAAGTTGTTAATTTCCAAAAATACAAAAATGACGACTCCGCATCAACATAGTCTGAACTCAGATCACTCGAGGTGCTTTGGGAGGTCTCAAAGGGACCGCCTATGCCACGCCCATTAGAAGCCACGCCCATCCACTAGTGCCTAGAGACTTGTGAAACATTGTTTTTTGACTCAAGATATATGGAGTATGATCGATGAATTAAATAGCTATAGGTACTGTAAGATATTGTTTAGTTATAACGAGAAAAACAATTGAATAATTTGATTATCTTCCAGCAACTAGAGGAAATGTCTTTAGAAACTTTGATAGAAGATTATTTTATCTGGAAGAGAAAAGTAACATATGTCTTCTAATGATGGATGGTATTGATGGAGCTTGTGTTGATGTAGTTAGTAGGTGATGTCGTATAAGTACAATAAACGAAAAAGAGGAAGACAATTAAAGTGGATAGACCAAATTGAGGAAACAGCAGGTGGTACATGGCAGAGAGTGGCACAATGTAGAGAGGAATGCCGCGATTTGGAGATGAAGGTTGAGGATTCTGTAGTTTTTGTATAAGATTTGGTTAAACCCTTCTTGGACATTACCCATCATATTTAGTTTTTTAGTTTTTCTTCCTTACTAGGGTTTCCTGGAGATCACCTGTGAGCGATAAAGCCGCCCGTTTCAACTTTCATCCCTTATAATTTTTATAGTGTTGTTTTTCATTAAATGTTACGAAGTGGAAATAAATATTCAAACAATTATTAAGATAAGAGAGAGACTGCCACATCAAGTTAACAGATAAATAATTGCAGAACTAAGAGTTGCAGTTTTTTTAATCTTATTTCCAACAGATTTGTCGAGTATATTCATAAAAACTAAATCAGTCTAACCACTGTTAGCAATAACTGTTTTGTGTCCGATCATCACACAATTTTACACAGAGAGATTTAATGTATATAATAAGACTTTATATCTGAATACACAACAATAGAAAAATAATGATTTGAGTAACCAATAGAGGACACCGTGAGCCATTTCTGCCAAAACCCTCCATCTTTTAGTCGATACCAACTCCAGGGAAATAAATACAGATAATACAACTTTTTCTACAGATGTGAAACCTTTGTCTTCAGTCACCGTGACCACGCACGCTGTAAAGCACGCGAAACGTCCGTTAAATTTAAAATTATGTAAAATAATTGTAAATTTATAATACATAACTACAATCCGGTAAAAAAGTGTTTTTCTGATCAACCAAGCTGTTCAGTTTTATATGGAATAAGTACTACGTATAATAAATAAATAAATTAAATACCTTTATTTTTAATCAAATGTCCTAATAATATTAGTTAAATATGTAACCTAGTGAATGCTACTTGCACCTGAAACTTCTTGATACTAATAAACTTTTTCTAACTAAACTTATGAGTTAATAAAACTAGTGTAGTGAATAGTGCTAGTGCGGTATCTTGGACACACGATAGTCTTAAAACATTACACTGAGACTGATAATAAATAAATCAGTGGCGCTACACTTTAGGTCTGGGCCTCAGATTTCTGTATCTGTTTCATGATCTGTCAATCTAACAGGTAGGTGAGCAGCCTCCCGTGCGTGATACACACGTCGAATTTTTGGGTCAAGGTTTCTTCACGATGTTTTCCTTCACTGATTGAGCGAATGTAAAATGCGCGCATAGAAAGAAAGCCATTGGTGCACAGCCGGGGATTAAACTTACGACCTCAGGGATGAGAGTCGCTCAATGAAGCCGTGAAGAACATTACCTTAATATATAGCTATTCACTAATATCGTAGAAAATTAAGTCAACATAATATTTATTAGCCCTAATTATTGTATAGGCTAGATTGCAACTTTTGTGAACTTAATTGTAAGAAAAAAAAGTACCTATGTATGTATGTGTATTTTATCCTATCTTTAGATGAGTAATTAAAAATGTCAAAGGGTGTATAATATTGATATCACAATTGGAATTATGAATGAATTAATAATATCCCACTAAAATGCAGACGAAAATAATCTCGTATAAAGAAAAATGAGGGCAATTTTCATCAGTATAACATTCATACATATTTCCAACAGATTTGTCGAGTATATTCATAAAAACTAAATCAGTCTAACCACTGTTAGCAATAACTGTTTTGTGTCCGATCATCACACAATTTTACACAGAGAGATTTAATGTATATAATAAGACTTTATATCTGAATACACAACAATAGAAAAATAATGATTTGAGTAACCAATAGAGGACACCGTGAGCCATTTCTGCCAAAACCCTCCATCTTTTAGTCGATACCAACTCCAGGGAAATAAATACAGATAATACAACTTTTTCTACAGCTGTGATACTTTTTGACATTCAAAACCTTTTGTCTTCAGTCACCGTGACCACGCACGCTGTAAAGCACACGAAACGTCGGTTAAATTTAAAATTATGTAAAATAATTGTAAGTTTATAATACATAACTTCAATCCGGTAAAAAAGTGTTTTCTGATCAACCAAGCTGTTCAGTTTTATAATATATAAGTTTATATAAATTAAAGATAAAAAATAATATACCTAGCCTCATTAAAACCGCAATTTGCATACAAACCTCATTTCCCTAACCTAAAACAGAACAATAGATCTAGATGTAGGCATTACAATTAGGTTAGCATTGTTCTCCAAAGCCTAACTAGATTGGTCTATTGGGATTGACACAGACAAGAATTACAAATCAATACGTGGTGAGTTTCACCAAAGACAACCTATATTATATTAACACCTTCACAAATATTTAAATTAATCTTTTGGTAGAAGCATTGTCCCCTTGTTGATAAAAATTTGCCAATTTGCACGCTTTTACCTAAAATACTTTTTTATCTCCTTTTGTCAAATTGTGTTAACGCTGTGGTGAAAAGAGACAGATGAGTTCTATGAATAACATTGACTTCATAACACAAATATTTCGTTTCGCCTTAATATGATTGTTTTAATTAGCCTTTTTTGCAGCTGCTTACCAACATATTACTTTGCTACCCTATAGATACGGTTCGCTTTTCTGGAAAGAAAACGTAAGTATTAAATAAAACTAATTTTTCTTTTCATAAAAACCTTCCTCAGAGTTTAAGGAATAAATAAAATCTCTCGAATTGGCCCAGCCGTCTTCGAGTTTTGCGCTTAGCAATTTTGCGATTCATTCTTGTTTATATAGATAGCACGCGAAACATCAGGGTGAGTTTAAATGATCTTTAAATATTTGTGATAAGTTAATGCGCATTACAATCGTACTTGAAGACAAAATATGCTAAATAATAAAAAAAATATGCAGTACATACAAACGTTGTATGTACTGCATTAAACTAATTCTGAATCGTTTTCCGTTTCATTGACCATAGTTTATATTATGGTCTGGTTCCTCGTTTCACAACTGAGCGTTTTTAAGGCAGTTTTTGCGCACCACAACTTTGTGGAACCAGCTGCCCACTGAAATATTTCCGAACTAATTCGACTTAGGGTCCTTCAAGAAAAGAGCGTACCAATTCTTAAGAGGCACGCACCGGGATTCCTCTGGCATTAAGAGTGGTCATAACAGTATCACCTGACATCAGGTCAGACTCCAGCCCGTTTGCACCCTGTTCAATAAAAAAAATTAATAGAAATGTAACTTCATAACTCATAAAGATGGAATAATATATACCTAGTGGTAATGATATGAAATATCGATTTTATTAAATTATAAAAGATTTTAATTAACACATTTAACAAATCATATTTTTCATTAGAATAAATATAAAAGGCCATTTTCAATATTATTAATAACATTTACAACCTCGCAACATTGAGTGAATAAAATTTTATTCGCGTTCCAAAGGAAAAAACTCGTTCAAGTATCCTATATAATATTAACAAGTATCACGCTCCAACGACACCCCACTTCATTTTAATTCGAAACCTAAACTCTGCTTTAAATTACACTTTTTGCCTTATAACACCCCAGTTGACCGTAAGGGCTACTGGCGTTCTTTCTAGTGTCAAACGTAGTACCTTTAGAGGCCCCCTGGGGGGTACTTTCAGGCCCTTAACGTTTACGACAACACGATTGCTTTTCTATGAAGGGACTGAAAACGACAAAAACAGACAGATGCTCACGACGGAAGTACTATAAGTGGTTTTCA